TTCTCTGGATGCACTAATCGCCTATTTACACGATGCGTCCTAGACGTACGTCCAGGCCTTATCAGATTTTCGCGTACGTCCTTGACGCAACGGTTAATCTGTTTACACAGTGAGTTTTGTTCGTACGTCCAGGACAAGTAGTTCAAGGGCACGACGGCTGAAGAAAATTGCCATAGTGTATATCTTCTTGTGGCAGGAATTAAGAAAAAATATGAAATTTCGCAAAGAAGGAGACGAGCTTGGGTGAGACCTTGGATCGCCAGAGACAAACTTGGAGCGTATCATGCACTTCAAAAAGAATTGGAAGAGGAAGGCCCCGGAAGCTTCCGAGATTTTGTGAGGATGGACATGGACACTTTCCAAGAACTCCTTGTAAAGGTCACACCAATAATCCAACGCTCTACAACCAATATGAGGGAACCAATTTCTGCTGCAGAACGTTTATCTGTGATCCACAGGGGATGCCATGCTGTCAACACTGTTCATCGCAAAGAGACGCGCAGAGCACGTGACCCAATCTCACCCACCTGATTGGTTGGGTTCTTGCGTCCTGCTTACGATGTCGCAAGAAATTAGAACATCCGTCTAGTGCATCCGATATCGCAGGGGTCATAAAATCGTGTCGTACCGCATAGTTTACACGGTGCGTTTTGGACGTATGCGTCTGACTGATGCGACAGACGTACGTCTAGGACGCATCATGTAAATAGGCCTTAAAGGCTGTACATAGTGCCTAGAGTCCCTAGACGTACGTCTGTCACATCAGTCAGACGCATACGTCCAAAACGCACCGTGTAAACTATGCGGTACGACACGATTTTATGACCCCTGCGATATCGGATGCACTAGACGGATGTTCTAATTTCTTGCAACATCGTAAGCAGGACGCAAGAACCCGACCAATCAGGTGGGTGAGATTGGGTCACATGCTTAAGTCTCTTCTCTCTAGGACATACGTCTAGACCGCATCGTGTAAATAGGCCTTTATCTGTACCTAGTGCACTAAAAAACGCGCACCCACCCACGCACGCACGGAGAGATAGATAGATAGATAGATAAATAGATAGATAGATAGATAGAGAGGGAGAGAGAAGGAGAGGGGAAGAGAGGGAGAGAGGGATAGAGAGAGAGAGAGATATAGTGAGAGATAGAGTGAGAGAGAGAGAGACCAAGCGACCTAGATACCAACTGAACAAGTGCCGCGGAGCGACAGCGCTCATCTAACGTCTACTGCGATGACTGTGGTGGAGTGGTGGGATTCTAGTAAACCCTGTTAGTCCCAAATGTGTTCACATACATGCCGAAACAGTGGAAGGCACAGGGATGGTATCAGGAACCTTCTCAAAGGAATGTTCATTGGGATCGTTATGAAAGTTGCCACGAGATGGCGCGTGCGTTTAAGTGTCATCAGATTAAAGATGGAAGCTCCCATCGTACGTAGTAGTAACAACTATTTGCAAGACAGAATAGGTAAGCACACATCCATTTACCTACGCAAGCCTACAGGCTGAAATAGAGAGCTGCCACTTGTAACTAATTAATGCAGGCAAAAACTACACAGTACCACCACCACATGCACTGGCAGTGGCATACGTTACATGTAACACACTGACAGTACAGAATGCCATAGAAATTATACGATTTAAGGAGCATAAACCTTCTTCAACCAAATTTAGCTTTTGAAATGTCAATGTGACATTGTAGCCCCATACATCCAGGCATGTATAGATTCTACTAGCAAACCCGGCAGTCAAATTCTTTCTAACAGTAAAGAAATCCATGTTTAACCCGCCTCTTGAGGGTCAAAAGGTTATCCGACACTTACTCTTCGCATGTCAGCAGAAATTACATTTCATGGTCCTTTCAATAAAGCCATAAAAATGCTAGGTCACCGCTGAAACAAAAAAGTTTTTCAATCGCTCCATCAGACCATGTCCTCATCGTACAATACACTGTATGTGTCTGTACCACTGACAACATTACATCCACATGATACTATGGGTATATATATATATATATCCCGGCCCCCACTCATGGGTACGGATTCACCGCAATCGCGTTCCCAATTTCTCCAGAAACGGGGTACTTTTTGTCTAGCTATCTCCGGCCCGAGAATCCGCCGAGGTTTATCCGGAGCCACGGCCGAGCTTTATCCGGACAAACACAGAAAAGGGGGTATTTTTTCCAACTGCATGGCCCAGAGATATTTTTTAGAAGGGGTGTTTAAAACTAACCCGTTATGAATTGATAATCCCCGACTTTCATTTTCCCTCCGATGTGTCACTACAGAGTGGCAAAACTGGGGCTCAAAACTAGAAAAACTGTAAACTCAAGAAAGTGCATTTTAATAAATCCTGAGAAAAGGGGGTGTATTCTTGAAAAGTCCTGAGATAGGGGGTAGAAAAAGAGACAAAAAACCCGCAAAAAAGGGGGGGGGGTAAAAAAATTATGGTCCTTCCTGAGATAGGGGGTGTTTTTGAAATCAGGGAACAAGCGTAGGCGTCCACCTAATATGCTGAGTGGGGCGGGATACATATATTCCTAGATAGAATAATGTATAACCTGAATGTTCGTGATATTTTAATCAATTTTATCGTGATAGTGTGAGTGTTTAGAATCAACCAGAATCACACGATGGGCATTATATCACAAACATTGGTACTCATTACGCAGGGAGGGACAAGTAGAAATGTGGAATCTCTGTAGTGTGATGAGAGAACACAACAGTACTAAATGAACTTCGGATTTTTTTATATATTATCAGTATTCATAACTCGCAAATTTCTAGAAGTTATCTATGTGTAGGTGGGCACACGCATATCGCACCCCCTTCAAATCTGCACATGATCGAATGTGTTCAGGATTCTACTGGTAGACATCAATGTATCTACGCGTAACAATTACTCAGAACTTACTAGACACAATAATATGTAACCCAACACTGTTGGCGACAGAGTATAGACTACTCTATGCATGGGTTACATTATTATATCAAGTAACTTACCTGTCATTAATTTCCCTGTACTTCAAGCCTAACAGCAGAGCGTCTGCAGCATCCACTTCTATTCCCTTCGCAGACTTAAGTGGGTAGATGATGAGCTTGGACACTTTTCCAACTTCCACAAAAAACTTTTTCTTTTTCCTCATATACACAGCTACTAGGCCTAATACCGATGCTGCGAACACTGCAATACTAATTGCCATAGAAGTAGACATACCGCTTCTGCTAAATAGCATATTTTCCACAGTATATATTGTTATGTATTATATGTATATACGACAGCTTCAGTTTGTGCTTCTATCCATGCAGTTCTTTATCAGACAACGTACGTCCAACCCAAACCTTGGAAATATAACTTGTTTCGGAGTGAACAGCACATGTATGAGCCAGCACGGGGAAGTTACGTGGTATATAGGTCAAGGTTGCACCTACAACTTACAAGCCATATTATATTCCCAGTCGAAGTTGCGCATGAGCTAGTCCAGTCAACGAGTAAACCATTAATCAAAACATCCCCTTAAATGGCTGGTACAGCTGCGGCGCATATATTTATTGGTCTGCTGGGTTACCCTGACTACTCTGGATGCACTAATCGCCTATTTACACGATGCGTCCTAGACGTACGTCCAGGCCTTATCAGATTTTCGCGTACGTCCTTGACGCAACGGTTAATCTGTTTACACAGTGAGTTTTGTTCGTACGTCCAGGACAAGTAGTTCAAGGGCACGACGGCTGAAGAAAATTGCCATAGTGTATATCTTCTTGTGGCAGGAATTAAGAAAAAATATGAAATTTCGCAAAGAAGGAGACGAGCTTGGGTGAGACCTTGGATCGCCAGAGACAAACTTGGAGCGTATCATGCACTTCAAAAAGAATTGGAAGAGGAAGGCCCCGGAAGCTTCCGAGATTTTGTGAGGATGGACATGGACACTTTCCAAGAACTCCTTGTAAAGGTCACACCAATAATCCAACGCTCTACAACCAATATGAGGGAACCAATTTCTGCTGCAGAACGTTTATCTGTGATCCACAGGGGATGCCATGCTGTCAACACTGTTCATCGCAAAGAGACGCGCAGAGCACGTGACCCAATCTCACCCACCTGATTGGTTGGGTTCTTGCGTCCTGCTTACGATGTCGCAAGAAATTAGAACATCCGTCTAGTGCATCCGATATCGCAGGGGTCATAAAATCGTGTCGTACCGCATAGTTTACACGGTGCGTTTTGGACGTATGCGTCCGACTGATGCGACAGACGTACGTCTAGGACGCATCATGTAAATAGGCCTTAAAGGCTGTACATAGTGCCTAGAGTCCCTAGACGTACGTCTGTCACATCAGTCAGACGCATACGTCCAAAACGCACCGTGTAAACTATGCGGTACGACACGATTTTATGACCCCTGCGATATCGGATGCACTAGACGGATGTTCTAATTTCTTGCAACATCGTAAGCAGGACGCAAGAACCCGACCAATCAGGTGGGTGAGATTTTCTACTATGGATAAGGCAACACTACTCCATGCCATGTTTCTCGTAGAAGGACAACTCGAATTACTTGATTGACAAGCCCTCATCATGCTGAGGAGGATGAGGAGGAGAAATAGAAGTCTTTTGGCGGCATAGTTGTAGCATACTATTATACTATTATGGGTATAAAATCAGTAGAAAATAATCTTGATGTGAACAGCACGGCAGAACGAATGATGATGTCTTAGAACGCGGCGCGGTATTTATATGGTCGTTGCCAGCGCAGTCGGCGCCTGACTAGAGCGTAATTAAGTCGCACTAGGAGCGTGACTGGCACGCAGTTGAGGCGCGGTGAGCGTTGCTTAAATTAGGCGCAGTGAAAGCGTCGTTCGAACGCAATGCGATCTGATTGGTCGCAATAAAGACGCAGTGAGCGCAGTGCAAGCGTGATGCGGGCGTGGTGTTGAGCGTGGTGAAAGCTTGTTGAGCGCAATGAGATCGGGGTAAAGACGCACTTAGCTCGTAGTACCGACGTAATTAGATCGTAGTATCGGCGCTGGGCCCGGCTGGGGCCCAATTGCCCACGCTCTCAACTACGCTCACCACGCTTGGCATGGGGCGATCGTGATGAGCGTAGCTCTAGTGTGAAGGGGCCATTATAGCATTATAAAGGAATCAAGACCATAGCACCGATCTTAGAAGTGATGATGTCTGGAAACGCAAGATTCAGTTCCGTTGCTTACCGCGGTTTCATCAGGAAAAGTCAATCCTTTACGAACATACGGTCCGAAGTCTTTCATTTTTCTCGGCTCAAAATCAGGCAAGAAATGCATTATCCTGCACCCAGGCTTGTCCAGGAACGTTGATATCCAGTTTGCAGCCTTATCTCCACAGTCCATCCCCTTAACCGCTGTCTGAAATATACTATAGAAATAAAATTATAATAATATTACTATAGTGAATTGTTGTAGAAATTGTTTAGATGTATGTAAATTAATTATGTCTCTTCATACATCCTTTACGAAATTATGAAACATCTGGGTAAAATTTATAGCCAGAATCTGCCTACAGCAATCAACAATAAAAACTGCAAACATGCATGGTTTATAAGCACTTGATATAATATATAATATATATATAATATATTGAGTAAAATACAGTAAATGGGTATTGTAGGGCAAACATATGGGTAGCTAAACATCCAGCGTTCACAGAGGATTTATGACAACGACATAAACACCAACCCCCCCCCGCCCCCCCCCCCCCCCCCCCCCCCCAATCTTTCGTATGTAGCTTATACAGTAATCTGTATAATCATGAACCTGTGCGTATACCATGCAGGTGATACAAGGTGTGCGTGTGTGCGCGCGCGCGACTGTGTGTGTATGTGTCCGCGTATGTCTGTTTGTGTTTGTGAATGTCTCGGTGTGTCCGAGTCATAGAAATAATATAGATAACCATATTATCTATATTATTTCTATGGTCTGAGTATGTCTCTGTTTGCTTCTCCCTCTGTGCGCGTGCGTGCGTGTGTGTGCACGTGCGTGTGTACGTGCGCGCGCGTATACGTGTATATATGCGTATGTTAGATCAAATGTTCCCAATGATCGACCATCAAAATGATGAAATCACAGCAATGTGCTTACCTGGCTGTCTTTACATGATCAGGATCATGCGTATCTATGCGTGTTGGCAACCTAAGTGTATCCATGTCTGGGGCATCGAGGTATAGCTCATTACCATGAAGACTAGGAGTCACTAATACATAGTAGGATGCTGCCTTGCTGTGATCGCGTTTAGCTTGGCGTCAACCACAAAGCCAGTGTCTGCACAGAAATGTATGTTAGAAATATGATAATATATAGAGAAACAATCAACAGGAGGACTGTGTGATTTCTTGTTTCTATTATGCCGTACAATACACTGTATGTGTCTGTACCACTGACAACATTACATCCACATGATACTATGGGTATATATAATAATATATCCCGCGCCCCCCACTCATGGGTACGGATTCACGCGCAATCGCGGCGTCCAATATTCTCCAGAAACGGCGGTACTTTTTGTCTAGCATCTCCGGCCCGGAGAATCCGCCGAGGTTTATCGCGAAGCCACGCGAGCTTTATCTCGGACAAAACCACAGAAAGGGGTATTTTTCCAAACTGCATGGCCCAGAGATATTTTTAGAAGGGGTGTTTAAAACCTAAACCGTATGAATTGATATCCCCGACTTTTCATATTTCCCTCCGATGTGTCACTACAGAGTGGGGCAAAACTGGGGCTCAAAACTAGAAAAACTGTAAACTCAAGAAAGTGCATTTAAATAAATCCTGAGAAAACGGGCGGGTGTATTCTTGAAAAGTCCTTGAGATACTCGGGTAGAAAAAGAGACAGCAAAAACCCGCAAAAAGGGGGGGGGCTTAAAAAAATTACTGGTCCTTTCCTGAGATAGGGGGTCGTTTTAAATCGCAGGGAAAAGGCGTAGGCGTCGCCACTAATATGGCTGAAGTGCGGGCGGCGATACATATATTCTAGATAGAATAATCGTATAACCTCGAATGTTCGTGATATTCTTAAATCAATTTTATCGTGATAGTGTGAGTGTTAGAATCACCAAGAATCACACGATGGGCCACTAATATCACAACATTGGTCTCATTACGCCAGCGCGAGGGACAAGGTAGAAATGTGGAATCTCTGTGACGTGCTGATGAGACGAAACACAACAACTAACGTAACTAGAATGGAAACTTCGGATTTTTTGTTATATTATTATTCAGTATTCATAACTCGCAATTTTCTAGAAGTTATTCTATGTGTTAGGTGCGCACCGCATATCGCACCCCTTAAATCTGCACATCATCGAATGTGTTCGGATTCTACCTGGTAGACATCCCAATGTATGCTACGCGTAACAATTATCATGAACTTACTAGACACAAATTAATAGTAACCAACACTGTTGGCGACAAGAGTATAGACTACTCCTATGCATGGGCTTACCAATATTATAATCATAACTTACCTGTATTAATTTCCCTGTACTTCACGGCCTAACAGCAAGAGCGTCTGCAGCATCCACTTCTATTCCCTTCGCCAGACTTAAGTGGTATGATGATGAGCATTGCGACACTTTCCAACTTCCACAAAAAAACTTTCTTTTTCCTCATATCCCACAGCTTACTAGGCTAATACCGCATGCTGGGCGAACACTGGCATAACTAAATGCCATTCAGATATAGACATAACGCTTCCTGCTAAATAGCCATCATTTTCCACAGTGATATATTGTTATGTAATTATATGTATATACGACAGCTTCAGTTTGTGCCGTTCCTAATCGATGCCGTTCTTTTCAGAGGCACACGTACGTCACACCCAAACCTTGGAATATAAACTTGTTTCGGAGTGAACAGCACATGTATGAGCCAGCAAATCGGGTAAGTTCACGTGGTATATAGGTCAAGCGTTGCACCTACAACTTACGAAGCCATATATGATTCCCAGTCGAAGTTGGCCGCAATGAGCTAGTCAGTCAATACGGAGTAAACCATTAATCAAAAACATTCTGGTACATGGCCTGGTACATGTACATGTGCGATACACTGGTACATGGTACATGTACATGTAGCATGGTACATGGTACGCTGGTAGTCATGGTACAGCTGTGTAACATGCAGCTGCGGCGCATATATTTATTGGTCTGCAGGGTTACCCCAGGGCCGGCGGAAGCAAATAAACATTGGTCAGGCCATTTAGCATCCGACGAACAGCTGGCCGATGTAGACGATGACGATGACGATGACGAGAACGATGACGATGACGATGACGATGACGATGACGACGATGTGGTGACATGTCGACGAACAGCTGGCCGAAGGCCAGGCTGCCCGACGGCGCAGCCGGGCGGCGGGGCCGCTTAGGGGTTTCCGGCGCGCGTCAAAGGGGGGTTGCTGGGGTCTCCTGCGTTCTCGATACACCTGCTGCATGCATCGTGTGTGTGTCATGTAAACGTGCGTGCACATTCTGTGCGTGCGTGTGTGCGTGCCGTGCCGTGCACATTCGTGCGTGTCGGTCGTGTGTGGTCGTGCGTGCGTGCGTGCGTGCGTTACACGTGCGTGCATGCTGTGCAGTGTGCAGCGTACACGTGCGCGCGTGGTCGTGCGTGTGTACGCCTACACGTCGCGTTCGGGCGTGCGTGCGGTTGTTGCACTCTTACACGCTGCGTACATGCGTGCGTGCGTGCGCTGTGCCGTACACGTGGCCGGGCGTGCGTGTGCGTGTCAACGTAGCACGTGAGCGTGCGGCGTGCGTGTGCTGTGCAGGTACACGTGTGTGCGTGCGTTGTGCACGTGGACGACACGTGCGTGGCGAGTGTGCGAGCGTGCGTATGCACATTAACACGTGCGTGCTGCGTGTGCACGTACCACTGCGTGCATGTTTCTCGCGTCGTAGCGTGCGTCGTGCGTGTTGCAGGACTCCGTATAGTGCCATGCGCGCGTGCGTGCGTGCGTCCATCGTTTGGATGCTATACGTGCGCAGCTGGTACTGCATATGCACGTCCACATGCGTGCGTGTGAAGTAACACGTGCGTGCCTGCGTGCGTGTGTGAAGTGCGTGCGTGTTCACGTTACACGTGCGGTGCGTGCCGTGTTGTATGTGCAGGTACGCACGTACAGTGTCCGTGCGTGATGTAGTGCACGTAGACGTGCGTCGTGCATGCGTGCGCTGATGCACGCTACATGTAGTGCGTGCGTGTGCCACAGTACAACGTGCGTTGCGTGGCGTGCGTGTGTTACGTGCGTGGTGGCGGTGCGTAGCGTGTGCTTGTATCGAACAATATCACCATCTGATTGCTGCCAACGCGTTAATGCGCATCGTGCGCATATGACGCAAATGTTATAAACATAAGAAACAAGATCCGGCTTGTGATACGAAACATGTGTGCTTGAAGAAAAATAATGATCGGAAAAATTATTGGTCCGGCCCTGTACCCTGACTTCTCTGGATGCACTAATCGCCTATTTACACGATGCGTCCTAGACGTACGTCCAGGCCTTACGGAAACAGGCAGAGGAGCGAACGCGGTTAATCGTTTACACAGCTGAGTTTTTTGCGTACGCTCCAGGACAAGTAGTTCAAGGGCACGACAGCTGAAGCAAATTGCGCATAGTGTATCTCTTGTGGCAGGAATTAAGAAACAAATATGAATTTCGGCAAAGAAGGAGAACAAGCTTGGGTGAGACTTGGATCCGCAGTGGAGCAGACAAACTGTGGAGCGTATCATGCACTTCAAAAAGAATTGGAGGAGGAAGGCCCGGAAGCTTCCGAAATTTTGTGAGGATGGACATGGACACTTTCCAAGAACTCCTTGAAAAAGTCACACCAATAATTCAACGCTCTACAACCAATATGAGGGAACCAATTTCTTCCGCAGAACGTTTATCTGTGATCCACAGGGGATGCCATGCTGTCAACACTGTCCAAGTTTGTCTCTCCTGGCGATCCAAGGTCTCACCCAAGCTTGTCTCCTTCTTTCCAAAATTTCATATTTTTTCTTAATTCCTGCCACAAGAAGATACACTATGGCAATTTGCTTCAGCTGTCGTGCCCTTGAACTACTTGTCCTGGACGTACGAACAAAACTCACCGTGTAAACAGATTAACCGTTGCGTCAAGGACGTACGCGAAAATCTGATAAGGCCTGGACATACCTCTAGACCGCATCGTGTAAATAGGCCTTTAGCTGTACCTAGTGCACTAAACAACGCGCACCCACCCACGCGCGCACGCACGCACGGAGAGATAGATAGATAAATAGATAGATAGATAGATAGAGAGGGAGAGAGAAGGAGAGGGGAAGAGAGGGAGAGAGGGATAGAGAGAGAGATATATAGTGAGAGATAGAGCAAGAGAGAGAGAGAGAGAACCCAAGCGACCTAGATACCAACTGAACAAGTGCCGCGGAGCGACAGCGCTCATCTAACGTCTACTGCGATGACTGTGGTGAGTGGTGGGATTCTAGTAAACCCTGTTAGTCCAAATGTGTTCACATACATCGCGAAACAGTGAAGGCACAGGGGATGGTATCAGGACACCTTCTCAAGGAATGTTCATTGGATCGTTTATGAAAGTTGCACGAGATGGCGCGTGCGTTTAAGTGTCATCAGATAAAGATGGAAGCTCCCATCGTACGTAGTATAACAACTATTTGCAAGACAGAATAGGTAAGCACACATCCATTGACCTACGCAAGCTACAGGCTGAAATAGATGAGCTGCCACTTGTAACTAATTAATGCAGCAAAAACTACACAGTACCACCACCACATGCACTGGCAGTGGCATACGTTACATGTAACACAACTGACAGTACAGAAATGCCATAGAAATTATACGATTAAGGAGCATAAACCTTCTTCAAAACCAAATTTAGCTTTTGAAATTTCACTGTGACATTGTAGCCTCATACATCCAGCATGTATAGATTCTACTAGCAAACGCCGCAGTCAAATTCTTTCTAACAGTAAAGAAATCCATGTTTAACGCCGCCTCTTGATGGTCAAAAGGTTATCCGACACTTAGCTCTTCGCATGTCAGCAAAAAATTACATTTCATGTCCTTTCAATAAAGCCATAAAATGCTAGGTCACCGCTGAACAAAAAAAGTTTTTCAATCGCTCCCATCAGACCATTTCCTCAGAAAATGTCTAAAATCTGCCTTGTGCCCATTGACCTTTGACCTGTGACGCTCCAATTTTGGCAGCAGTGATGGCTTTTCTTACCATGAATCTTACACCGACTATTACGAGCCTAGGTCGAGCCGTTTAGATTTGTGCGGCAATTCTACATTTCCTCCCTATACCTTAAGTTAAGGAGGGAATGTTCCCCCTTCATTTACACCTCTTGACCTTGGACCTTTGACCCCAGCTTTGACATCCCAACTCATTTTCGGATTACCCCCCCACGTCCCGACTTTCGAATCCGTACGTTGAGCCGTTTAGATTTGTGCCCAACTGTTGACGGACGGACGCACGGACGGACGCACGCACGCACGCTCATTTGATTCTACAAGCTGCATCTGACTATGTCAGATGAGCTCAAAATAAACAACCACCGGCGTTTTCTCCAAGATTACATTCACATAGGTTTTCTGGATATTCTACGATTTCCCCGAGATTACATTTGCTAGTGTGATATAAAGTAAACGCATACTGTAACAGAATGTGCTAGAATGAATTTATTAACATTAAATATGTGTCAATATTGAACCTCCAAAACACCGTATAATAGTATAAATGTTCTACTATCACATAGTTTACTGTAATGTAAATATTAATTAATATGGAGAAAAATATATATTACATTGTAAATAGTTACTATTTCACCTGTGAATACATTTAATTAGTTATATTTAGCCGCTGACCATCAATTAAAAAGTTCTCATCAAGAAGATTTATATTTAATTAACTTACTCCCACACAAAATATTTACTTCACACACATATTTTAAAGTAAGCTTTCCATACTTTTGACATTTTATCAAACAAATGGTCTCAGATATAAAAAATTGAAAATAACACTAAACATACATTCAGTTGTTAAGCACTAATCACTGATATTCCATATCCCCCAATTAACATTATTAGCTTGTCTGATATACCACCAGAACTATAATACCCACAAGAAAATAGTAGGTAAACATGTGTGACAGACTTTCTTCATTAGCATGTCTTTCCGGTAGGGTCCATGTACACTAGCAATGTGACAGCTCCTTTTGGCCTCTCAGCTTTGTATCTAATTGATTAAATTACATACTTACATTACAATTATAAAGATGAAGCTCAAAAAGCCCAACAATGCATTGCTGTTAAATTACGTATCGGTATAAACATCGTTTTTACATAAAATGTAACCACATACCAGCTGAGCTCACACACTAGTGCAACAAACACTAGCAGCTCAAATGTTTTGCAAAAATAATCGCTATAGCACGAAAGAGCTCCAAATTAGGATTATATTTTGAAAATATTTACAATAAAGACCCAATTGCCATCACACTCACAATGTAATTGTAATAGTATTTTGCCATCTAATCTTGATGTTTGAGCAAAACCACAAAAAAAATTAAGGAATTGTGTCAAATTCCAAAACTCACCGTATATTCAATGGAATGAGAATGGAATCATCTTTTTTCAGTTGCACAGACTTGCCATCCATTGTGATTGTTGCTGTTCCTTCCTATAAACAGCATAGCCCTTTTTACCAAGACAACACTTGTATGCAAAGTTACTATAGAACAATATCCCTTGAGTAACTCTTAATTTTATAGTTTTATACTATTATATGCTAAATTTTACTAATTATTACTAAATATACTAAATTATTTTAATATACTAAATTAAACTAAATTATTAATTATCTCACTAATTATTAACTAATTATCACAAATTAAATAAAGATGTAAGACAGCATGCTGTTCATATTACCATCTGCCACATCCAACTCTCGTAGGCGTTGCTTTCGTCACTGTTCTCTCCTTCTCCAAATACAATCACCTGCAAATAATGTTTACTGCATGAATAACTGGCAATGTACATAACTGCACACCTATAGAGGTCGCAATATATTTCTTGTGCATCTTCATGTCTTCGCAGAACGTTTATTCAGGAAAAGTCGTAAAAAGTTATATTTCAAATGACACGATGACGGCTGGTTAGATTAGCTTTCAATTTTATAGCAATGAATGTCTGTCACTGTGGGTGTAGAACCAACACGCTATTAATACATACTACAGTACCAACAGGATAATCACAAAGCAAAATGAGCTGAACGTCTTATTAATCCAACTTTATATGAACATAACTATACAACTGTACTGTACGATATTATGCTATACATGTATATATATAATGTATTACATATCCTATTTCATTAATAAACAGGTTATAGCGTCAAAAGCTGTAGCCACAATGTATCTTTACTTTATAAATTCAAATTTTAAAATGCAGTTCTCTCAAATCTGAAAATACACCTTGTGTAAACATAAACTCAGATTACTGAAATTTGCCCAAAACAAATTTGTAAATTATAACCAATGAGTCCGGGATATGGAACGTTAATTTGCGTTTATGGAATTTTTCAAAGGAATTGGCGAGTTGTGCTACTCATGTTCAATCGATGTATGTATCAATAAGATCAAAGTAACACATATGCAGCCAGCTCCAACAAGTTAGGCGAGGTTTTCTGAAATACCATCAGACAGGCTCCTGCCCTGAGAAATAATACCTACATGTACAAGCGTGTATGGAATGTGCAAGTTCCTGCAATCAGTGCCCTATCAGTGTTCACTGTACTCCAGGAAGAGGGTACTAAATCTTATTCTGAACTCTCCTTTCCTCCCAGTACTATCATGTTACTGTGTCACACCATTTAAATAATTAATATGTGTGTATTGTGTATATGTGTGTGTGTGCGTGCGTGCGTGTGCGTGTGCGTGTCTGTGTGCATGCGCGTGTGTTTGACCATGTATTCTTGCATACATAATTGTGCTTGAATTATGGAGGATTACCTACCTCTTTTGGCAGCAAAATCTAGGGAACGCGTCTCCAATTATATCATGAAAGTCAACAGGAAAACGTGATTCACATTACAAATTTCATGTTAGGAAATTAGGAATGTTTTATATGAAGAACACAATTTTTCTCCAACACAGAATATTACTCTACACTACATAATTACATATGACAATATATATAAGTACTTGCCCCTGTCTGCATATCTTTTCCGTATACCCATTTGTTCCCACTTGATTGGATGCTCGCATCATTTTTTGTTAACCAGTCCCCAAATTGGAATGGTGGCTGTACAGCAGTTGTGACATCAATAGGGAACTTGGGGTCTTTAACAAATCCTGCAAAGCAGTTAGCACGTGTTACTCCACAGAATTATGCAGAAGAATTTATTATGTTTAAAACAGGGTTTTGTGTGTGTTCTTATATGTACATATGTATATATATCAAAAGTCCATAATAGAGACTCTCTACATAATATTGATATTATATAGCTCTTGATATATATCAAGAGTACATAATAGGAGATCTTCCTATTATTTACTCTTGCTATATATATAGGGTAATTTTTTATAGAGGGACACAAAGCCATGCGGGCATTTCCAGGGCTCATGTTACAAAATTTCATGTTACGTATATATTTTTTCTGACGTGCATTGCTTTTGTAACTGGGAAATTTTTGTATCTTTGTAAAGTATTATGGGATGAATATATCCTCAATGTATTCACACCGTCTATATATTTACACAAGTACATATCTTCTGATACTGTCGTAAGATATATTCATGGAAATCCCATTTTAAACTCACCTTCCACAGGTTTCCCAGTTTTATACTGCTCAGATGCCTGATACCTATATGGAAAATAGATATATATATATTCACCTGAATATATCATGTAATTTTAGTATATATCACTGCACAATCCATTATTAATTGTCAGTAAGCCATACTTTTGCATATTATTTTTGTTCATAACGTTTATCAAACATTTAGATTACAGCAAATAATGTAACAATCCTGCAATTGATAGGACATTTATGATAATTATAATTAATACATACTCCTTAATAACTGGAGGCAAGTCTATGACCAGGTCCCAGCAGAAGAACCACTTCTCCCACAGCACTTCTTTGTTCCCATCCGTATAGTACCTGCAAGTCATAGCTCAAGTCAAGTTGTCAAACATTCAGGCCCATTCACTATATATCTTTCAAAAATTCAAAAAAATTAAATTCAAAAATTAAATTTTAATATTTATTTATGAAAAGGGTACTATTTAAATATATAACTTGTGAATAATGAAATGATAGGCATACTTCATAGAGATCTACACTGCACTGTAGTATGAAACCTAAAAATGAATTCCCGTCTGTGATTACCTGAGGCAGTCATCTTCTTTGCCATCTTCCCTCATTCTCTCAATGACAAGCCCCACCGTATTCTCAAACCTCTGCGGTGAGTGTGGGATTCTTGCTGGCAGCAAAAAAATCTGCAAAGATTGTGTGAAGATTCATCTGAGATCACTTAAGTTGCAATCACCTGTAAGAGAACTCACATGATGGACATCACAGTCATATGTACGTTAGCAATACTATATGTTACTCAAGCTATACGAAGGCTTAGATATATACACATTACAATTACTTACTATGTGACAGGTAGTTTTTATGGAGGCTTACTCGCAAAACTATGTACAAATGTCATGCACCATGAAATATTAGTGTCACCCAATAAATGAGTTATAAGGATATTACAGACATCATCATCATACACGCATGTCAATATAAGAAAATGGAATGTAGACCAGCTCATCTTGATATAATTGAATTTTTACTATGATGTGATGGGAAATACATTGAGGCAACTCCTTTTGCGACAAGTGAACAATATGTAGTCAATAACTGATGATAGTAAAATGGTACATCTTCTGTAAATCTCACTATATTTCCTAACTACAATATGTCGAGGTTTTGAAATCACATACTGTACATTATTCCCGTTGTCCAATCTCTTCAAGGTTATCAAAACTTGTTTTGTCAACAGACGTATATATAGTGCTGAATAAGTAAGAAATCATTCCTACAACACGGTTACGTGCCTGGTTTCTATTTGCCTTCTGGCTGCATGTAAAGCGAGACCCATAACATGCCTGACATTCCAACACCAGTACCTGAATACCCTTGAAGTTGATATTACCTAAAATAGCAACTAGTACAAACCATTTTCAGCAACAGATAAGAGCTAATTGAGCTACTTGTAGGAAAATATATTATCATTACTGCAAGATCTACAATTGAAATTATGAGGCCGATTCCCTAATTATAAATAGATATCATGGAAGCAAAATGATGTCATATTGCATGGGGGTAAATCCAAGGCATGGAAAATAACAAGAAGTGTTAGCAAGCAGCGCACATGCGAGGGGGGAGTGGGTTCAGGAGGGGGTATCCCCCTCCTGGTGGAGACATCTTGGGACCCTCCTTGGGGGTGTCCCCAAATTTTATTTAAAATTACACCTCTTAGATGCAATTTCCTGCACTCTGAGGCAGTATTATTAAACAATCTTCATCATAAAAATATCACTTTTGAGTTGAGTATTTTTATCTTTGGGGACATCACAGACTAAAATACTTACTTAAAAAAGAGAAACGTAAACTTCGAATTGCTGAGGGTTGAACTGCTCATGTCTCTGTCACTGTATTTGTGTAAGTACAATGCTAAGGCAAAGTAATGTGATTAATTATAAGTTAATCTATCTGCCAACTGAATAGCTAACTCAGGCCTCAATGCTTTTTTCAGATCTGTTGGGCAACAAGAAGAAATTTTTACTTGTCCGAATTTTGATTTTACTTGTCCAAAATTTACTTGCAATCTATGTGCCGTTAAGGTCTAATTTTGATTCAGTGCATATCATATTACCAGGAGTGTATAATATAGAAATATATATTATATAAATATATATATATATAGAGAGAGAGAGAGAGAGATGGATAGATAGATATATAGATAGATCTATATATTATATATAGAGATATATATTGATATTATACACTCATGATATTATATAGTATATACATGGAAAATCGTGATGAAATTCACGTTTATTTTTGTGTGCCGGCACGCTCATTGTGTGTCATTCCCGATTGCAGGTTTTTTTCTCAATTCCAGGAAAGAATTTTGCTGTCGTCCTCTGATCCCAGCGGTGCCCAATCCTGCGTATTCAGTAATGAACATGCCCCATGCGACTTAAACAATCGTGCACTCCCCCACCCCCGTACATCAATCCATGCCGCCCCAGCCAGGCACGTATACACAGCCACGCTGTGCTGGTCGCTGCACGCTTTCGCGGGCAGATTTTTTCAGCGACCATTGATAATATAACGTGAGCATGTCGTGCGATAGCGCTCTGGCTATAAGGATGCTAGGAATATTAAACAACTCGAATTTTTCAGTTGTCCGATCGGGCAATCGGGCCATTTCAGTTTCATTTTATTTGTTGCTCTTTCAAAAAAAGTAACCGGCCAAAATCATGAAAGTAGACGGCGGTTTTTGCCGGCGGCCGGCTAAATTTGACACGCCTGTTAAGTACTATTAACATATCTACAAGGAAATGTATATATTCAATATGTATCCATTGGTTCATGTCAATTGCAATTAATTTTATATACAAACCTCGCCTTCTTTGATGATAATATCCTTTGGTTCCCCCTTTTCCATGATCTTCAAACACATATCGCCTTTCACTTGATAAAATAACTATAAAAGAAAAGCATATTTAAAATGTAGCACAGAAAAAAAGGTCATCCAGATTTTATTTTTAATGGAATATAAATTGGTAACAGAAACGTTTTCAAGTCATTGTGGACTCAATCATTGAGAATAAGCTCATGGCAACTGTGTTACTTTTGGTTTCTGTAATTGGCTTTGTACAGTAAAGCTACCCACTGTTATATGGGTGAGGTTGTTAGGGGGTAAGATAAACCTGTTTATACAGCTGTTGTTGCCTGAAGCACATGGGGATAAAGTGGCTCGCTCAATGCTACAACAGCAGTGACCAGGGTTAGACTCAAACCCCAGACTTTTCAGCCCAGAGTTGATTGTTCTATTCACTATATCACTACTATGCCACTGCACAATTGAAACTTGCCAGAGAATATATATTATTTTAGAAGCCATGGCGCAGTCAGTTCCTACTGCTATTTTTACTACTAGTAAAAGGAAGTCCTGCAAGCCATTATTTATTGGTCCATGCATTCTCTTGATATCAACTATATTTAGATGTGTTCATGTGTGCATGCATATATAGTAGTATGCAAATATGTATATATACATACACAATATTTGTACCCTGCATTATGATATTAAACTTATGGGTTTCGAATATTTGCGCAAAGTAACTTTGTAAATTATGACCACTTTCATGACTTTACTCGTTCAACACAAAGTGAAAATCCACGCTTACATAATATTTCCAAGAAATTAATGGCATTTTATACGCAAAATTCCTCCCTTTTATGTGTTACATCATTACATGACACAGGGCCATCCATGAATTTTTTAAATGAGGAAGCCATTTCTGATTGTAAGTGACACATGTTCGGTAAAATAGCAAGCAACCAGTGCGATTAATTAGATGAAAACACAGTGATAAAATACTAAACCCACCTCATCACCTTCTTCAATGTGGTAATCCTTACGACTGTTTGGACCACCTACAAACATCACTTTTAGTTGACCTTTAGAATGCCTGTAAGAAAAGTTTTAACTTTTTTACTCACCAACATATATGAACATACACTATACAGATACTAACATGAACATTTACCAATTTATTTGTTTATACAAAACGTTTGTATAGATATTTTTATGATACTATATGAAATTAAAGCGAGAATTTTACATTTTTACCAACCGTTTTCATATTTTCTCAAATGTTCTGTTACTTACTGGTACTCCTTACATAACACCAAGTGTATATTAGTAACTCACAGAACACAAGCAAACATGTAACACATGTAACAGTGCAATAATATTTTCAGCATACTGATTCATTTCTTACATATTGCAAACAACTTACATAAGTTTGTTGCACACTGGAGGCAAAAATAATTTCTTGTTTTCTTCAATCCACGACGAAACATTATACACTACGGCTTCATCCATTTTGGCTTTCTTGCTTTCGGTAGTACCATTGTCAGAACACTTATCAGAATTTGCTTGTGATCGTTTGATGACGCTGCTGATCTGTGCATCAGTTGACATCACTTCTCTGCAAACAAGATTTTAAGGATACAGTCAGGGCTATGGTAAGGTACCACTGTAATACCACTGTACCACTGTACCACTGTAAGGTACCACTGTAATACCCCCTTCACATACACGGATTTTTCTTACGAGTCCTTACGGATCGCCAACTCGTAGTCAATCGCAAGCATCCGTAAATAACTCGCTGGTATCCATATTAACTTGTCACAACTCGCAGACACTCGTAAGGATCCGTGAAAGGAGAGGCAAATTTTCCGTAAATAACTCGTAACAATCCGTAAGTATCGTAAACCGCTCGCAACAACACGTAACCATCCGTAAACTGCTCGCAAGAATCCGTAAATGACTCGTTTGTTACGATTTGCTATGGTTAGTTTACGATTTGTTTACGGATTATTTACGAATTATTACGAGTGCTTACGTGTTGTTTACGATTTCATTCGGGTCGTGTTACGATGGCTTTACGGATTGTTTCGAGTTATTACGAGCACTTTACGAATAGATACGTATACTTTACGTATTCTTACGTATTGTTTACGATTTGGGAAAGGCTGCAAAATCGAACATGTCAGTTTAATGTCATTTAGGTTAGGGTTAGGGTTAAGGTTTAATTGGATTATCAATCATTAATCATTAATGATATCAAAGTTGGGAACACTCCTAATGGAGCATTAGCCAGATTTGCAGGATTTTTATATACTTTTTGCCAAAAAATCGTAAGGACTCGTAAATACTCGTAACTAACTCGTACCTATTCGTAACAACACGTAAACAGGTCGCAACTAACATGTAAAATCTTCGATGAATCGTAATATATCCGTAACAATCCGTAAAAGCTCGTAAAATGCCCGTAAGTTGCTCGTAGTTATCCGTGACAACTCTTAACAAATCGTGGAATTTTGCCGTAAATACATCGTAATAACTCGTAATAATCAGTAATAAACCGTATTTAGCTCGTAATAACACGTAAATCGCTCGTAAAAGTGGCCAAATCATAAGGATCCGTGTACTTTTACGAATTGTGCGATCCGTAAGGACTCGTAAGAAAAATCCGTGTATGTGAAGGGGGTATAAACGGCATTACAACACAACTGCTTGACAAATCCAATCAAACACACATCTATTTAATAAAAGAGATGTCTCTCTATGCTCACCGTGAATATAATCACAGAAACTTCATCGCTAATTACGTGACAGCAAAAGTTGTAAATTTATATAAAGAAATGCTTTTTACACATTTCTCAGAAACAGCAAAGGGATGCATGGAACCTAAACTCTTAGCCATTTATAAGTTGTTCATAGTAAATGGCCCCTGAAATTGCTTTTAAAAAAAGAAGCAACTGACAACCAAATAACAATGTGTGCATGTGTCTTTATATCGATAGATATTTATGCTATATTTATTATTCTGTGTAATGCCCGTTTCGGACTCTCTAGGTGTATTCTTCTTAATATTATTATTAACTAGCTATTACCCGTCCTCCAGACGGGTTTGAGTGGGGTCTGATTTGAGGATGGCGGTTTAACCATTTATCTCTCACTTTTAGTTGAGGATGTATTTACAGTAAACGAAAAATACTGATATTTAGACTCGAGTCATATATCAATATTTTACCTTAAAATAATTACCTACAATTTTTCAAAAAAAGGGAAATGGGGTGATTTCATAGCACAATTTCACTTATTTAGATATTATTTTGAAAATATCATTCTGGTTAGAAGGCATCATTAATAAATCAAATTCTTAAAAAAAGCTCAAATGCATTGAGTAGTTTTGAAGATCTATTTTCTTGAAAGTCAGTGGACGCGGCGGCAGGGTTACAGCCTCCCGTTGTCAAATATTTGCACACATGCGCGCACACACATCAACATCACACACACGCGCGCATGAACGGGTGCGCACACACATACACGCACACGCACATGCCACGCACACACACGCATACATACATAGCATACATACATACGCGCACACACCAAACCACAACATACACATATACACACAACTGAAGCCGTCTCTCATTGGGGTTTGTCTTAATTTTTTGCTTCACAGCTGTGCGCGCGCAGTGATTGGCTGTTTTACACCGCAGCCGCAATGTCTTTGTGTGTGGCGTGTGCGTGCGTGCATGCGTGCGTTTAGTGTGGCTTGCTATGCTAGGTGAAGGCTCCACCTAATTAAATGCTTATTATTATACCTTTAATCTACATTTAGTATAGCTATATTATCATTAAAACCGTCGTGAGAAAACACATAATAGTTTTAACACAATTTCAAAAGGTTATGTATATATAGTGTGGTGTGTGTGCAGTGTTCGAAATTCACGTCGGCCCGTCGGCCGCGCCGCCGACAGTTTCAATGCCGGGCCTACAGCTTCTTGATTCAACAGGCCCGCTGATCCTACAGCTATTTGATCACCGAAAATTCGAACACTGAGAAACTGTTACCTGTAGAAATCTGTTCATGCATATTAACTTACAGGGGTATTTATTTGAAAACTAATCCGTGATAACTGTGACATACATGTATACAATGCGTTCGCCCACTGCAATCAACTTTAGTTGGCATTCAAGAAACGGGCTGCGTGGGATGTTCGACGCACAGGTTAGCCACAGGTTCCTGCATCCAGTAGCAGCGCTTGCATACCAAAAACTCGATAAGAAGTGGGTGGAGCTTACTTGTTGGCAGTATGTTGTAGTGAACCCTACATTGTGTTGGCCAGGGTTTATTTACGTGCACGTATCGTCCAGCACGCTCACTGTTCACGTGCGCTAGGTTTGTGGAGTAATTTTCACATCCCCGCGCATTTCACGTTTTTGATGTAAACAATAAAGTATCACTGGTCGTTATTACAAACGATCAGTATACTCGTTTTAAAATAATATTAAGAAAGATTTAGATAATATATCATGTTGAATTATACAGTAAATAATAATAATTGTGTCAACGTTTTAACACACATGTCATAATTAAGTCACTGTATCTGCAAAGCACGGCGTATTACTTAGTATAGTCAGGCAACAGCAGTACAGCCGTCGTCGCACCACTCAGGTTTAACCGTGTCATATTGTTTTTAACGTTTGGAAAAACTATATACATTTATACAGGGTGTAGCTAAATAAAAAAGCTTCCCTACGTAAGAGCTTGTATGTCTACAAAATACATTTTACTTCGACACACTCAACACAGACGGAATTCCCCAGTGGCCCTCAAAATTTTACCGAACAGGTATTTT